TAAATTTTTTTTGTAGATGGATGTAACATTTGTGAGTGAAAAAATAAAATGATTATGAATTTAATGTGACATTTTATCTATTTTGTCTTTTAATATTATTTTAACCAAAAAGTCAAAAAATTATCTTTCCAAACACCACAATTTATTTTTTTTTATTGTTTTGTTTTTGTAGAAAATAATTTGGACAATATAGAAAATAATTTACAATTATGATTGTGTTTTTTTAAATAATTTGTCAGATTTTTTTTTTAATCAGAAGATTAATTTTTTTAATATATATATATACATACAAGATAATTTTTAAAAACAAAATTCAACGTTTTCAATATTTAAATGATGTGATCCTTGTAATAAGAACACAAATTTTAGTCCTACGGAATGTAATATGTATCTTTCTCTAAAATTAATGACCATTAGAGTAAGGATATAGGAGTACTAAACATATCATTATATCAAATTCATTTTTTTTTAATAATCTTAAAATAACATACATATGTTATCTTTGTTCATAATTATTTTTTTATTTTATATTAAAAATAAAATTTTACGATTCTCGATCTAATCTATTAGTATCTCTCAATAATCTTACTTAAAATTCTGATTTTAATAAATTTGAATATTGATCTTTACCTCTACTCCATAACAAATTTAAATTTAAATGAAAATTCTCAAAAATTATCTCGACACTTTTACAAAAATTTACATCAAAAGGAGTTTTACTTAAACTTTTAGTCTACCAAAGATTTTTTATTTTTTTTAACTCAAATTTTTAAAAGCTAATTGTGGTGATATAATTCTAAATTTATAATTATGCCACTACCCAATTTTATATTCAAGTTTAAATTTAACCATTGGAATACTCTATATCAAATTAAACATTTACTCAAACTAACTTGAAGCAGACTGTGGATATATTTTTCGAGCTAGTTTTGTTTTGTTTTGTTTTGTTTTTTTATTATTTATTTTTCAAATGTATATATCCATTATTCTTTTATTTAAATACTTGCGGAAAAATGATTACAACCTTTATGAAGAGTAATTGCCCATTGCCCTCACCAATACATAAGGATATAAAAATGTTATGCGTCTCAGATTTTTTATTAAATAAATAATCAAATGTCTTATACTGATGTGAACCTACACTTTTGTGGATGTCACACCCATATGAGATATTTGATCATTTATTTAATAGAAAATTTAGTATCTCTAGTATTAATGAAATATGCATCAATTGATATATTAATTACAGTACTAATGAATGAGGTGTGAGACATTTGATTATTTATTTATTTGGTAGAAAATTTGATATATTTAGCATTGATGGAATATGCATTAATTGATATATTAATTAGGGTACTAATCAATGATGTGCTATAATTTCAGAGGCTTTGAGTCATTATAATTTGTATAATTAGAAGGATTATAGTTTTAAAATAATAATATCATAACTATGTTGATACACTAATTATATTAATTAGTCCATGTAACACCACCAATACATAAATATCAACACTGTAAGGTTCTGTTTGGAAAAAATTATTACATGAACTTAAGCCTACCAAAAACATGATGGGTTGTTTTTTGTTTGATGAAGCAGGTCTAGTACAATAATGAATATTTTGATTTCAAAAAGTCCAATAATACAAAATTTAAACACAAAATTAGTCACCAAAATATAATAATAAGGAGAGCAGCTCCTCCATAGTCCCACTTGGTTTGAGCCGACCTCATATTCACCTTAATAATTTAAATTGTTCATTTTATGAGACTTATAAAAAAAAAATTAAGTTGATCAAATATAATAATCACTTAATCGAATCATATTTGTCTAGAAAATAAAAATTTTAAAAATAGACTAATTATCTTCAAAATCATACAGTTTGACTATCTATCTATTTTTTTCATACAAATATGATTCACAAGTAATTATTGATACCTAATCACTCTGATTACATCATAAACTGTTCAAATCATCAAGACAATCCAAAATGGGCCCACAATGGTTGAACTGGACCAGACTTCTTTGCTTCCTGAATCAAAAAAAAAAAAAACAAAACAAAAAAAAAAAAAAAAAAAAAAAAAAAAAAAAAAAAAAAAACAAATCTTATAAAATGTAATTCATTCATATATTTTTAATATTGTATTTGATTTTTTATATTCCTAACATTTATGTTTGATTTTGATGGGGGAGAGGGTGATGTGAATTTGAGTTGGACTTTGGGCTTGTCTTCACCAATCAACATTTCTAGATGAATGATTACTTGCTTTATAAAGTTGAAAAATGGGTTGAAATTGAGAAGAGTGAAGAATACAAAGAAAGAGGAAGGTTGAACCATCCACGTTGAGTTGAATATAAGCTTTGATTTAATATCTAAGGTAGAGATGCCCTCTGAATTTGAAGTTGACCTTGGATCGATCAATTTTTTTAAAATATTTAAAAGAAAATTTATTTGGCATCTTATTCACACCACATTTTATGTTTTTATCGATTGTGACTTATTAATTATGATTAAATTTTATTATAGTCTGTCAATTGAAATTATAAATTATTTTTAAAAAAAAATCTTGACCACATTTATTTTTATTATTATTTTTGTAGACAGGCATACTAACGTGGCATGATAGATATGTTAACAACGTGACATAAGGAGCCAATATCAAATCAAGTATCAAATCTACAAAATGGTTCTTATTTAAGATTGGATATGTATCATGTTAAAGAAATCATGGGTTTGTTGAGGAAATTTTGAGTTTAAGTTATCTCTTTCTTTTATGTGATTGAATCTATAAATAAGCCAAGAGAGATACAAAGAGAGATCAATGAATTTCAAATATCAAATACACTCATGCAGAGTTATTTAAGAGTATTTCTAAATTAGTTATTTTAGGAGTAGATTAAACAAATAGTTTTTCCAACCCTCCATTTCGCTTCTTTCTGTCGATTGCTATATTTATTCAATTTTTATTCTTGTTTAAATTCTTGTAACTAGTTACAAGTGACAATTTATTCTAATTAATACATATTCTGTTCTGTTCAATCTCTTCTTTACTGGATTATCTCCAGGAAAATCTTTAATTTGTTTAAGGCATGAGAGTCAACCACAAAATCTAATCTTTTTGTGTTTATTAAAATTAGTTGAAACTTATCGACCAATCTAAACTGAATTTTTGCTAACACATTTATTATATTTATGATTTTGTTAATGAATATTTTAAGAACATGACTAATTATTTAGTAGTTTTTAATATCTGTGGTATTATGGTTCAAACATAGCAACACACAAAAAAAAAAATATTGATAAAAAATAAAAATTTGCCACTATTAGGGAGTGGAGAAAAAAAAATGACACACTTAATGTGTATTGCAGCTTTTTATTTAATATAAATATTACGTAAATAATGTCACTTTCTAAGGATATTTATTGATATATTTAAAATAATTAAATTACACTTAACAATTCTACACTGTTACTAAAATATCACTTTCGTATATTTATTTTTAATTATAACAATCAATTTATTACACATTAAGGCAGGACAATGACAACAGTAAGGCTAACATTGACAAAACTTGTTAGGTGAGCCAAAAGTTATTATTTATTTATTCTTTTGTCTATGTGATCTCATTATTACCTTTATATTTTCATCAAAATCTCATTTAATGTCTCCGCTTTTAATTTTCATCTGCCACATTAAATGGACAGAAGGCTATAACTTGAATTAAAATATAAAAGTTATTTTTTCATAAATTTCTTTTTACCTACTTATATTTTATTTAATTTATATTATTTTCTTAAATTCTAATAAGTCCTATAAGTGACATAATTATCAAAATATCTCTAATAATATTCACATTTATAGTGTGAATGTTCTGTGATGTAAATGTTCACACCGTCAATGTAAATGTGAACATTCACAGGCCAATGTGAATATTCACATTGTAAGATATAAATGTTCACGCCACCAAATTGCTAACCGTTCAAAAATATATGTAGAGTAAAAATACTCATAAAATACTTTACATATGACAATTAGGATTTGATAGATCAAATATTCAAATAATAAGACTTACTAAAAAACAAGAATATCTTATGGACTAATTGAGATACAAATACTTAAAAAATGATTTTCTAATAAATATCCCAAATATAAAGGATTGACTACCATAATTAAAACTGAAATAATCAAAATGATATATTTATTTTGTGTATATTTATTTTTATTTTCCTTTTGTTCATAGTCACACATGGACCATGGTTTTAGTTAACAAAAGATTAAGTACATTTGAATATTATTCTTCTAGATCAAGCAATAGCTTAAGTAAAAGGAAAATAGAACTTAGAAGGAATTTTTTTTTTTTTTAATTTAAAAAAAAAAAAATTGAAACTTTGAATGGACTGAATATATTGGGGTTTACTTCCATTGAGAACCCTACCAATTACCCTTTCGATGTTATAGAAAATTTAATATATTTTTTTTATAATGTCCATTTTATTTTAATGAAACAAAAACTACTAATCCACTTGTTCACAGTTCTTCTATGTGCACATAATAATCTTATCACACAAACCATCCCACCCCATGTGAGGGTAATATTTTCCAAATTCCTAATCGAGTTTACATGCAATTCAGAGTAATGTAATCATATTAGTTTAGTGATTTAGAAAAGGAAGAAGTAAAAGATCATACATAAGACTCGACTCTCACTTACAAGAAGGCCTAGGAATATGAAGAACAAGAAAAAAAGCTCAATTTCCTTCAAACTAATTGAAAAGGATGTTGCAATATTACCAACACAATGAATCTTCAATCTTGTTAATTCTGATAAAATTAAAATGATACGGAGAAGATTAACATAACCCCTAATCAAAGACGATGCACAAATCGTGAAACAGTCCCCAAAAAAAATGAATATGCAAATCTCTAGTTTTTAATTCATTTTTTCAACAACAAGAAGCAAAGAGGGTCAAATTAAGTTTGAACTAGGTGCCATGGCTATATCTTCCAATCCCATCTCAAACCTGCAACAGGCATTTTTGTTTTTATTGATGAAACTGAGAAACTTAAAAAGAAAGTGTTTCTTCAAGCTGTCAAAACCATGACAAGCTTATCTTATATCCACAGGGCTCAAAACACATGAATAACAATAAATCATCCTGACCCAATAATTCTGATAAATTGATACAAGCATAAAACAAACATGCGACTCATTAGGCCATCCAGCTAACTTTTAGACTACTTTCCACAATTTTATTCCACCATCCAGCACCCAAAGGTGTTTACCTACATAGCAGAAAAGAGAGACAAGAATTACTTCAAATCAGGAAAAAAGTAGATAATTATTGTCCTAGAGTGGACATATAGTATTGACATCTTGAAATGATTAATTGTATTACTCTATAATCTTTCCTTTACCCTTATGATAATGACTGTTTTATTCCCTTTCCACTGTTTTCTTCCATAAGACAACAAAATAGCGACTATTATCTTAGCCTTCATCCCAATAATATGTCATATTTTTCTACTAACGCTTCATTTGTTAAATTCCAACCGAAAACATTTTTTATGAAAAACATTTTCAAAAATTATTTTCTATAAAATTATTTTCCAATGTTAGGTAACCACCGTGAAACTAATGTACTATTGATTGTATTAGTGGTGGGTTGGTAGCGGAAGTAGTACGGTGGCATTGGTATGACTTTAGTCTGAAAAATATTTTCCACCTTTACAAAGTAAAAATTATTTTCCACCCACACAAGCTTTTTTTTTGAACTAAGGCAGAATATATGGAGTGTAAATTTAGTAACAGTAACAATGAAAGCAAAGGAGAAGTGAAAATTGAGAATCAAGAACTGCCTAAGAGTGAACATTTTCGTTATTTAGGGTTGATTATCACAATAGCGGGGGAGATTGATGCAGATTTGGCCCATAGGATTAAGGCGAGATGGCTTAAGTGGAGAACTGTGTCTGGAATATTGTGCGATAAACGAATACCCACTAGCAAGGTTCTGAAAAGCAGTTGCGGTCGCCGTAATGGTGGCGGTGGCGCGGGCGCGGGCGTGGTTGCGGGGTGTAAAGACTGTAGCGTAATGGTTGCGGTAACCGGAACAGTGATTTTTTTTATTTTTCGCACAATTTGAAAAAAACTTACCGATACGCATATTTTTTTCCCATGATCATATTTATTGGGTTTAAAATAAATATTGATCAATTTTTAAAATTTTTTAAGTATGATCCAATATATTTCATATTTTTAAATCACTATAAACTGAGTTTTTTACATTTTATTTTAATAATTAATGACTTTATATTATTCAAAAAATCAATCACTAACTATTATAATTATTATTATTATTATTATTATTATTATTATTATTATTATTATTATTATTATTATTATTATTATTATTATTATTATTATTATTATTATTATTATTATTATTATTATTATTATTATTATTATTATTATTATTATTATTATTATTATTATTATTATTATTAAACAATATATAGATAGACACACACAAACAAAATAGTTGAGTGATAGCAGCTGAATACAATAGCATAGGTCTTACAGCTTCAACAAATCAATAACATGTTCTTCATCTTCCCTCTTCTCTCTCTCTATCTCTTGCTCCTCCATCTTCTCTCTTTATCTTCCTTCTTCTTTCTATCCATTTTCCCCAATTTTCAACTTTTTTTGTATTTTTTTCAAAAGAAACAGTTCAGAACTGTTACGTAACGGTGCATAACAGGTCGTTACAGCTGTTATAGCGCCGTTATGACTGCTACAGTAGCCGCTACGGCCGACACACCTGTGAATCTCAATTACACTGCAAAAGTGGCGGTAACGGGTGGCGGTAACTACCATGACCGTTACGTAACGGTTACGGCCGCTTTTTAAAACCTTGCCCACTAGACTAAAAGGTAAGTTCTATAGAACGGCTATTAGATCAACGATATTGTATGGAACGGAATGTTGGACAACCAAAAAATAACATGTTGATAAGATGAGTGTTGCTAAAATGAGGATGCTAAGGTGGATGTACAACAAAACTATACAAGACAGAATTAGGAATGAGTACATTCGAGAATAGGTAGGAGTAGCACCGATAGAAGATAAGTTAAGAGAGAATCAATTGAGATGGTTTGGTCACATTCAACGGAGACCAATTAGTGAAGAGATGCGATGCAGTGATGGTAGATGGAAATGTTAGAGGACCGGGTAGACCTAGATTAACGTTGACTAGCGTTGTAAATAGAAATATAGATCTATTTAATTTGACTAATAAAATGACCTTTGATAAAGCTGCGTAGAGAAGAATGATTCATATAGCCGACCCCATTTAATGGGGCTTAAGGCTTGGCTTGGCTTGGCTTGGTATGGTATAAGCTTGTTTTTTATTGACAACAAAACACTTTCCATTGACTTTCATTTTCTATCATACAAAATGTCAAAAAAATATTTTCTGCTAAAAAGAGCATAAATGTCTATTAGAAGAAGGATACAATATCATGACAGTACGTTTTAAGTTTTGGAGGTTACCATTAACAAACATGTCAAATCCAAGTCAGTGTGCTTCTTACTTGGCAATAAAAACAACTTGGAAAACACAACCTATGAAGCATGGACACACCAGATTTGATGCCGTGGCAGTGTCAGATACGGAGACACGTCGGGGATACATATAGGACACGCTAGGTGACGTATCCCTTTAATTTAATTATTTTTTTTTGCAGGGGACACGACGGGGACACAATGGAGACACGCGTGTCCAAATCTGGACACAGCATAGACACGGTGGGGCATAAATCTTTGGGGAGAAAGAAGAGAGAGAAACAAAGGAGAGAGAGTGAAGAGAGTGGACAAACTTGTCGCCATGAAGAAGAGGGAGCGAACCATCGATGTGAAGACGCCGATGTGAACCATCGATCGAAGACGCCGACTTGAACCATCGATCGAATACGCCTACTCCAACCGTCAACATCCAGTCGTCGACGAGGTCCATCTAGAACTTCGAACCCTGATCGTAAGTCCCTCTCTCTCTCTCACTCTCGCGCACTTCGCACTTTCTCTCTCTCTCTCTCGAACAGTCTATCCTCTCTTTCTCTCTCTCTTCTCTCTCTCTCAAACTCTCGTTTTTTATTTATTTATAATAATAGGTTTATATGTATATATATATCGTTGTAAAACTTACTCTTTTTTTATTTATAATAGGTTTATATATATACTTTTGTAAAACTATTTTTTTAAATTATTGGTTTATATATACATATATATATATATATATAAAAATTTTGTGGATGGATAATCTATTAATTTATTTAAATATAATAGTTATATTTATTGAATTAATATTATTATGTTAGTTTTGTTAATCTACATAACAAATGAAAATATATTTAAAAAATAAAAAATAAAAATTGCCGTGTCCCCCGTCGTGTACGTGTCCCCATTTTTTGAAAATTGCCGTGTCCCGTGTCCGTATGCATGTCCGTGTCCGTGCTTCTTAGAACACAACAAGATCAAGTGTCCCGTGTCCGTATGCATGTCCGTGTCCGTGCTTCTTAGAACACAACAAGATCAAAATTATAACTTGCTATACTAGTGACCAGATATTAAGACAAAAAAAAATTTTGTCACCAAATTTTGTCACAATAGCCTAGATTTCTTGTAGTGAATACTGGGTTGAATTACAAACAGTGAGGAGAAACTCAAAACACAAGTCATAAAGCCAAACATAACATACTGTATGAGTCACCAGATGTTCTGAAGCCAATATGTCTTCAAACCAATATGTTATGTTCTTACAAAATTAGGTAGTTTAAAGACAGTCCAGAAACAAGTGACCAAACAAGTCCTACCAATACCATTGGGGTAAATTTTAACACAAATTCATAAGGGCCTGCTAATTAGTAAGTCTGATAATTCTATATAGCATACTGAGGAACAGAATTTCCCTTTATTTACAGAGCTTGGGAACGGTGCAACTGCCTAGATCCTTGTGAAAGGTAGAAAACAGCTGTGCTGTGCACTAAGATTTACTCGGTCGAAAATAGTCAATCTAAAAACTAAAAGACAAAAAGGTGCAACAACCAACCTGAACAGAGGACTCAAGCGGCAGCCTCCAGTAACTCCCTGTCTGCACGCTCCCTAATCCTCCTCTCAAGCTCCGGCCTGAAATGCCTGATAAGACCCTGAACAGGCCAAGCAGCAGCATCACCCAAAGCACATATTGTGTGCCCTTCGATCTGCTTTGTCACCTCTTGAAGCATGTCAATCTCCTCCAATTTAGCATTACCAACTTTCAATCTTTCCATGATCATCCAAAGCCATCCTGTACCTTCCCTGCAAGGTGTACACTGACCACAGCTCTCATGCTTGTAGAAGTAAGAGAGCCTTGCAATCGCATCCACAACATCAGCCGATTTATCCATCACAATCACAGCTGCAGTCCCCAACCCTGACTGGACAGCCTTGAGTGCATCATAGTCCATCATCACATCATCACATATGTGCTTGGGAAGCAAAGGGACAGATGAACCCCCTGGTATTACTGCAAGTAAATTGTCCCATCCTCCTCTAACACCCCCACAGTGCCTGTCTATCAGCTCCTTTAACGGCATGCTCATCTCCTCTTCAACTGTGCAAGGCTTGTTCACATGACCCGAAACGCAAAATAGCTTTGTCCCAGAGTTGTTCTTCCTGCCAAAACTAGCAAACCACTCTGGCCCACGCCTTAAAATGGTAGGAGAAACAGCAACTGTTTCAACATTTGTAACAGTTGTAGGACAACCATATAACCCTGCATTAGCTGGAAAAGGAGGCTTCAATCTCGGCTTCCCTTGTTTCCCTTCAAGGCTCTCTAAAAGTGCTGTCTCTTCACCGCAGATATAGGCACCAGCACCATAGTGGATATGCACATCAAAATCATAACCAGATCCACAAGCATTCTTCCCTAGCAGTCCTGCTGCATAAGCTTCTTTCCTAGCCTTCTCAAGGTTTAAGCGTTCATTCACGTATTCACCCCTGATGTAGATATATGCAGCGCTAGCCCTCATTCCCACCCCAGCTATGAGGCAGCCCTCTAATAGTTTGTGAGGATCATGACGCATTATTTCCCTATCTTTACAGGTTCCAGGTTCACTTTCATCAGCATTAACAACAAGATATGAAGGGCGGCCATCAGATACTTTTGGCATGAAGGACCATTTGAGACCAGATGGAAAACCAGCACCACCACGTCCACGTAGACCAGACTTCTTAACTTCATTAACAATCCAATCAGCACCCTTGAGTACTAGGTCTTTAGTTCTGTACCAGTCACCCCTTTTCATGGCCCCTTTGAGAAAGGGATCATGCAAACCATACAGGTTGGTGAAGATGCGGTCTTCATCTTTCAGACCACCAAAATGGGTTTTCTCAGGAGGCGGGGGAGGAGGTGGAGGCTGTGGGGTGCTAGCATTTGCTGCACCTTGAGTACTAAATAATCTACTGCCTAGGACCCACCTCTTGCTGTGATTCTGAACCAAAGCTGCTCTATGAAGAGTAAGAATACCCTTAATGGGTGCCTATCAAAAAGTTACAGAACGACATCAGAGGCAAAATAAATAAAAAACAAAGGTCAGATTTTTCATAGTTGTACAACATTGATACAGTTATAAACTACACTACTACAGTGTTCCAAATATAACTTTTGTTGCCAGAAAATAGAAAATAATTCCCCAAGTACGTATAGAAATAAAGGCAAAACTGGCAAATAAAGAAAAAGAAAAAGCATAGAAAAACAGTGATCAAGACAAAGAACAAGATTCATGCATGATAATAGTCATTACTACTACTGGTTGTTTTATCCTAACTTTTTTGGGTGAATGTTTTCTCGTAACTTGAGCTCTAAAAAAGGCTACATATACCTCCTCACTAAGAAGGAAAGAAGGAATGAAGCACGGACACGCATACGGACACGGACACGGATACGGGACACGGCAATTTCTAAAAAATGGGGACACGGACACGGCAGGGGACACGGCAAATTTTTTAATTTTTTTATAATTATTTTTATTTTAATGCACATTAAAAGCCACAGAAATTTCGTATTGAGTTCAGAAATCAAAACTGTGGACACTCTTACAGACAGTACACTTGATGGAAAGTTTTAAGCAATATCGGAGTCTAAGTCATGTCATGATGGTATATGCAGTTGTCACTATGATATAATTAGTTATTAACGAGAACAAACAAGTAATAATATTCATTTATATGAAATTTATATAATGAAACGAATTTATATGATATTTAAAGGAAGAACTAGTTAGCAATGGACGAGGAACAGAGGGCCAAAGAGTTTAAAAGATGAATGATATCAAACCAACAAATCAAGCTTCACACAAACACTTCCAACCAATAAATGCAAGAAACTCTGAAACCGTATAAGACATTAACAGCTTCAAAACCTCATTGCAACTTAGAGCCCACATTGTTTAAAAATCTTATACAAGACTACATATAAGAAAGGGGAAGCTTGCAGAATATTAAAAAGCACCTAAGAGAGACAAAAGAAAGAAAAACAAATTGATTTTAATGTCTCAATTTTATCTCACTAATCCCTCTCAGGTGGTAAGAAACACATGCCAGCCTTACACCATTGTGAGTCTCTGATTCAAAAAAATGGGCACATAATGTAGTGTGTTAGTTAACCTTTTGTCACTAATGTGATGGATACTTGTACCTGAGAGTTTCTACCATTTGATGGAGAACACCTTGTTTCGTGTAATGCCTTCACATAATGTAGCAAATTTTTGCCACTTGACAGAGTTGATTTAGTGAATTAAACCACTACACTACAGTTACACTTCTCAAAATTTTAAATATTTCAGAATTTTACATGAAATTATATCCATTTCAACTTTGCGCTCCATATAGCAGCAACACGAGTTTTTCTAGTTTATTTTCTCAATCATCCTGAATAATTCTAAAATGTTTAATAACTTTCTCTACCATGTAATCCTTGAAACCCAAATTTGTCACTACACTCCTTAGTGATATAAGGTTCAATGTTCCCTAAAAGACACTTGAGAATGATAAAGATTAGGTCAAAGTCTAAGATTACATATCAATATGACATAGAAGAAGTTAATGGATTTTCATAAAACGATAAAATGGCAAAGGAATTCAAATACATTAACAACAATCTCTCTAGAACCTATGGGTATGTCAGTTCATGTTCTACAACACGAAAATCTTCACTTTTCATGTTACATAAAGCATAAAAATTCCTTCTTTTCCTCAGATTTGTCCTCGTAAAATTAAGGAAAAGAAAATATTAATAATAATAAAAAAAAAGACAAACCCATTAGCTAAAAACCTAGGGCAATCAATCAGTTCATCACATTGTTTCAGATGGAGGGTTTCAATTAATTATTTGAAATCCTAACAGCTCAACTTAGTTCACGAGATCTGCTAAAGATACAGAATTTTTAAACTTTACAAATTCACACATACGTACACATTCTATATAAATGTATAGATACAAAAAAAACATGAGAATGAAATCAAATGAGAAATCAAGACCCTAAAAATAGAGAATTGGAAGAGATTGCGTACCATAACACGAGCGATTATCAGATGGGATTTGAAGAAGAAGAAGAAGAAGAAGATGATGATGATTTGCCAAGTGCGAATACAAGTAACCGACGGTGGAGATGTATTATCAGAAATGGGGGAATTATCGGACGGTGAGGATTAATTGTGGTTTTGTGATGATCACTAGAACACGTGGACTGCAGTGGTAAATCCCGTATAGTTCATGGGCCAAACCTCTGATTCTTGACGACGTGTTGGAAGTCCAATGGGCCAATTTCTATCTGGCCTGAAAATCGTTATTTTGGGTCAATGAGCCCAATTTTCTGAAAGCCCCAAAATATTTAATGTAAATTTTGTAGATATTAATAATTAAAATCATAATTTTTTCCTGAATTTATAATAAATTTTTCCTGTCACCGCTTAATGGTAATTTTTCTAAATATTTACGTATATATGTAAAAAAAAATTTAAATTTTCACTAAAGACAAGAAAAAAATTATATTTTCTATCGGTCCAATTGAGTAGAACCTAAAATTCTTAAAATAAATAAATAAATAAAAATTTAATCATGGATGATTTGAAAGCGATTACGTGTATCAGGATTTACTATCGGTAAATTTAATACAATCCTCTCTTGATAGAGTTTTTCATAAAAATAAATTAATAAAATAATAAAAAGGGTAACCATAATTAACTAGGACTACAACCCTCACACCTTAAACAATGGTGCTACTTGCATAAAAAATATGTTTAGACAAAAAATTTGATTGTGAGCCTTATAATTTGTGTGATCCATATATCTCTTGTTTGTTCGCGTTTCAAATCAAGATTGTATGTCTTCTCACATATTATTGTCTCTGTTTTTTTATATCTTAGTGGTTTCACGTCAATAAAAATAGAGATTGGAACATAGAAGTGGCCAAGTATTCTTAATTCATGCATTCCTATATAATTTTTCTATATAAGTAAATTGTTTTTCCTAGTGTTAGGAAAAAAATCTAGACAAATTTACAAATAAGTGGCACTATTCTAAAATAATTACAGATTTGTGAAAAAAATTATGATTTTGATTATTAAAATATATAACGTTTACAATGTATCTGTAATTATTTTTCAAAACTAACACTAATTTGTTATTTATCTAGAGGGAGAGTGTTCTCTCCAGTTAAGTTTCTCAACTAGAGGGTGTTATTGGGCTTCCCACGACCCACCAATGAGCTTGCATTGATGATCCAACCCGTTAATATGTAAAACTCGTCAAGTATTTTATCTTTGTAAAAAAATACATTAATCAGATATCGATAGACACTTGATCAGATCACGTTTGTGTCAATAATTTATTTTAAAAATCATACTTACTGTTGACACAAATATGATCTGATCAAGTAGGTATCGATATTCAATTAAAATGATTTTTACAAAAATTAAGTACTCGACGATTTTTATACATTGAACAATTTAGATTATCAATATGAAATCTGTGATGGATTCAAAATAGTCCAATGGTCCAATAATATCCTCAAATCCAATTTAAATTGGAGAGAAGCTTGCCTCTCATCTAAGGTTTCGTTTGGGATGTGGATTGTTTTTTTGGCTATTTTAGCCTCAGGTTAAAATAGTTTCGTTTGGAATGAATTTTTTTAACTTTTGTGAGAGAAAAAATGAAATGATTTGTTGTCCAAATTATGAAATTAAACAAACAGATTCAAGAATAAATTAAAATTATATCCAAGACCACACGCCGAGAATTACACCCAAATTACAACAGAAATACATAATACAACAAAATGGTAAAGAAAGCAAACCGAAGCCTGCACAGTAGTAGTTTCCTTAAAATAGATTTTCGCCGCCTCACTGGTCGAGTGCTTGAGGAATTCTGGCATGTATCTCCCAGGATACGATGGTCAAAAACCAGCTACGGCAGAAGCACTTTATGTCTAGTTTAGCGAACAAAACTCGTGACAGCACTCTCTCACTCTATGAACTTTCTGGCAAATTGACTAGTAAATGGAAGCAAAAATTTGTGTGTTGAAACTTGACAAGAGGGTCTTAATTTATACATGTAGAGGGGATAGAGGAGAAGCCTCCAACCTTTATGGCTGATCACTAATGCACACTAATGCACCATTAACCCCTGCAATAATGCAGGAGTTACAAACTCATTAATCAGTGTGGGATAAATGTTACACACTAATCCCAATATCTCTTTCATGAGGTGATTTCTCATTCAATTCTTAATGGTTTTTGGTCATTCTTTTTGTGGTGTAAAGATCTCATTGCAAAGTATCTAGATCCACTTAGACCCAACACAATAGATGGTTAGGACCCACTTTAATATTTAATTAAAGTCACCAAAAATTCATTTTTTCTAACAATCCCATACATGAATAAAAATTAACCGAATGACTCAACAAACGGGCATTGGTCAACAATAATGACTCGGAGAGAGAGTACAACGAACTAACCCTGACATTAGAGAAGGTAGCTTTTAGCTTTGAACCTCTCATAGTGAAAACCTATCGAGTTTACTGGCTGATCAGTGAATATGACATCTTGAACTGCTCTGCCATTTATGTAAACTGAGACAATAGATTACACGGGAATTACTCCTACTATCATTTTGTTCTCACTGGCGTGCCCTACATGGCCCTAAGCACTAGCCTGGTTCAAACAAGTGGTTTTAAAGAATTTTGGCCTTCCCAATTCTTCTAGAATCGGTCCCACTTCACACTCACATAGGTGACTCTTTAAAGTATCCTGCTCTACCCTGTTTGAATCCTCAACACATAAGAGTCATTAAAAGCTTTGCTTAACCTTCACCCCTGCAGGTATCACTGCTTAAAGGAATGGCTGGAGGGTTTTATCCCCATAATGACATACCATTGTTATACGCAATTAGGTTGTCCCATTGAACCTAGATCTTGGGATCTCCCGTCAACTAGGTTAGGTTTCCATTCTAGTAACTTCCAAAGGCCTCAGCCTCATTCTTTTTGACGACATCTTGACTAACACTCGAGTTAACCCTTTGGTTAGCAGATCCACAATGTTGTCTTTAGACTTTACATAGCCTATAGAGACAACTCCATTCGAGAGTAGTTGTCTTATGAAATTATGTATACGACGGATATGTCTAGACTTTCCATTATATATATTACTCTATGCCCTACCAATTGCAGATTGACTATCACAATGAATACAAATAGCTAGCACAGATTTAGACCAATGTGGGATATTTTCAATGAAACGGTGAAGCCATTCAACTTCTTCTGTTGCTTTATCTAAAGCAGTAAACTTTGTCGTTGATCTAGATATACACGTTTCCTTAGAAGATTTCCAAGACATGACTGCCCCTATTAAGAGTGAAGTCTTTTATATCTGATATCCCATTCGCGTCACTATAGCCTTCTAGCACCGCTAGATATTGAGTATAATGCAGCCCATAATCCCGAGTGTAGCGTAAATACCTTAACACCCGCATAATGCCCTTCAAATGAGTAGCATCAGGATTACTCGTGTATCTACTAAGCCTGCTGAGCGAGTAGGCTATATCCAGCCTAGTACAACTCATCAGATACATCAAACTTCCAATTAGCCAAGAATATTCTAACTGAGAAACATTCTCTTTATTATTCTTGGTAAAATGTAGACTTAAGTGTATAGGTGTTGGTGACACACTCATATTTGATCTGCTAAACTTCTCAAGTATTTTATCAGCGGCCTCGTTTGGGAACAGGCTAATTTAGTAACTTTTTGGCTATTTGGCTAAAAAGGTAGGTAAAAAAAACTTGTATGTTTGGGATGACTTTTTGGCTCATTACGAAAAAATGTGCAAAAAGTAGAGAGAAAAGAGAATCTTTGACTTTTTTGTATGGGTTGTTGGCTTTTTGGCTAATTTAGTAACTTTTTGGCTAATTGGCTAAAATAGTCTCTTGCCAAACGAGGCCTAATCTTAATTCTCAGAATAACATCTGCAACATCTATATCTTTCATGTCGAACTTAGAGTTTCACAACTTCTTGGTAGTTTTGATCATTTCATCATTACTACCTATAATGAGCATATCATCAACATATAGACACAAAATGACATAACCTCTGTCAGTGTCTTTGACATAAGCACACTTGTTACATTCGTTGATTCTAAACTCACTTGACAACGTCACGTTGTCAAACTTCTCATGCCATTGTTTAGGCGCTTGTTTTAAACCATATAATGATTTGACAAGTTTACAGACTTTTTTGCTTTGCCCTGGAGCTGAAAACCCTTCAGGTTGCTCAATATAGATTTCTTCATTCAAATCCTCATTTAAGAAATCTGTTTTTACATCTATCTGGTGTATCTCCAAATTGCACAAAGTTGCTATCGCAATCACTATGTGAATGGATGTTATCCTAGTTACAGGTGAGTATGTATCAAAGTAATCCAGGCCTTCTCGTTGCTTGTACCCTTTGATAACGAACCTAGCCTTATACTTATCAATTGACCCATCGGCCTTCATCTTTCTTTTAAAAATCCACTTGTAGCATGAAGGCTTACTACCTAGAGGTAAATCCACCAACTTCCAGGTGTGATTTTGTAAGATGGAGTCAATCTCACTTTTGATAACTTTTTTCCATAAAGGACTCTTAGGAGAAGTCACAACTTCATGAAAAGTTTGAGGTTCGTTCTCAACCATATAAGTCAAGAAGTCTGGACCAAAAGACTTGGACCTCATAGCCCTTTTACTCCTTCTAAGCTCACTTAAAACCTCAATTTGATCATTACCTTGCTCCTCAACTTGATCATCAAAATGATCATCATCATTAGCAAGCTCATCAAATGGCTCCAAAGACCTCGGAACCCCTTCTTGGGTTCGACAAGGAAAAATGTCTTCAAAGAAACATGCATTCCTTGACTCCATGATGGTATTCCTGTGTATGTCTAAATTTCAAACTTATGTATAAGAAACCGATATGCACTACTATTATGTACATAACCAATGAATATATAATCCATGGATTTCGGGCATATCCTAACCCGTTTGGGTGTAGGTATTGCCACTTTTGGAAGACACCCCCACATTCGTAAGAATTTATACGAAGGCTTAACGACTTTCCATAACTCATACAGGGTCTTGTCCACCTTCTTCCGGGGTACTTTATTTAGAATGTAATTCACGGAGATAATTGCTTCCCCCCCCCACATATTCCATGACAATCCAGAACTTATCAATATTGCATTCATCATTTCCTTTAGAGTCCTATTCTTCCGCTCAGCAATCCCATTTGACTGAAGAGAAT